GGGGGGGGGGGGGGGGGGGGGGGGGGGGGGGATGGAAAGGAAATGAATGCTAAGGTCACTAAAAGGTTCTACTGGCGACATTAGTCACAGGAACTGTGGAATATTTGCCAGCTGCACCAGTGGCGTAGATGTATATCATGATGGAATCACAGCTGCTCAGAGAATCGGAAAAATTAGTGGTTGTAATCAGCGGTGTATCTCTTCCATTGGCGGGTCCGGAGGGGAGAGGGGAGAGGTGACGAGAAGCCTTTCGCCCCCTCCTCGGGGTTTAGGTAGCAGTTGCTTTACTGTACAAAAGTTTGTTCGTTACCCCCTATCCACCCCACCCCCCTCCTCCAGGAGACCCCCCTGGATTCGCCTATGGTCTCTTCAGCAAAACTGCTTGCCTTTTGATAGATCTTGCTTAGAATATGTTTTTTGTGAATACGCGAAGGCATTCGATAGCTTAAAGTTGAACAGTATATGTAAGAATTTGTAGGTAAATAACTGATGAAAATTACATAATCGAGATATCCCAAAAAAAATCAATGCGAGGATTCCATTTAGTGATGTTACTGGGATCTTCCCACACGCACACACGGGGCACACCATGCCATGCCGTTCAATCTCGAGTGGCGTAGCCTGTTCGATAAATGTTTGCCATCCGAATGATCCATATTTTCCAGTAGTTATTACTTCCCAATTTGTGATGCCCTCCGGTTGTCAGGATCATTTCCTGCCCATCGAGTTTTACTTTCTTGTGTGAGTGCCACGATATCTTTCATACCAGTTATCAGATGGACAGTCTGATTGTTTGGTAAACATTCTTCGGTCCGTCGTCCTCCCACTCATTGGTGGCGTTTTATCGTCTAATTTCGTCATTGGTTTCGTTTGGTATTGGAGATTTGGGTGCGATTTTTCCGATTCGATACTTTGAAGACATCGGCGATTTTGTGAAATTTGCGCCAACTGCTAGTGCTTCTGCGTACATTTCCGAACAAAAATTACGATAAAATTTTAGAAGCGCACATGACGTTTCAAAATGTTGCTCAATCGTGCTCCAGCAGTTCAAGAGAGTAGGATTGGGTAGTTAAAAATCTGATAGTTGACACTGGAACAGCTTGTGAAAACAGGCATTTCGAGTTTCATTTACTGGAAACTTCTCATGTTTAGCGTTTTTTTGTTGAGTACGGGAATTTCTAGTTTGGGCGTATTTTGCGCTCCAGGACTAAGTGTTTCAGAAATTTTAAAAATACAAATTTTAGATATTTGCAGAAAAAATTTTAAAATAAATTTTAAAAATTTTAAAATATTTTAAAAATGCATGTGTCCCTGGCTATGAGATTGGAAGAGGACAGGAGCCTGAAATCTTCCATGTGTTAACATATGCAGTTGGTTTGGCGCTTTTGGCCCACCGTGAAGAGGAACACAATCGAATTTTGATAAGTAATGAAAAATTGGGAGTTTCATTTAGATCTCCCAAATAAGCAAACCTGTATGTACAGTGACCTGGTAACCTCTCTGTGTTTCATCCCTCAGCTGTAAACACTGATGGCAGAATCAGTGCGAAACGGAGTGGGAATCATCAGTACAGTGCCCCATTTCACTATGTTAAAAGGAACATATTGTTTACCGGAGTTTTCTGCGCATATTTCTTTCCATTCCGACGATTTTAATATTTTTGTTCAGAACGAAAAATATTGAGGCGATGAAATCTCATGTAGTTATGAAAATGAAAGCATGTTGTGAAGGCGCTGAATTTGCAAGCGATTGCTTGTTTTGCTTGGGTCTGTGGTAACAAATTAACTAAAGCTTTCAGGATGGTTTCCTGTTGAGAGTGGTTCTTTGCATGGCGGGTGGATATAATTTTTTTTTCAGCAAATTAACTCGCTTTTGTTGCTTGAATTATGAGTGAAATAATGATCTTTTTTATTTTTCGCATTTTATTGGTTGTTTTGCATGTAATCAGTGAATATAGCGCGTGCAGTAATGGTGAATGTTAAGTTATTGACACAGACAAAAACTAGCAGTTATTTCAGATATATGCTTCACTGGGCAGTTTTTCAAAATTCAAGGGAAATTTTACGTCAGAACTTATTCGTTATATTCTCTATTCGAAATTGTTAAGCCCTTTCTGTTACCGATGTGTCGTTAATTGTAAAGGTGACGAAATCTTTCAGGAAGGAGGGAACACAGGGAGGGGGCGTGTAGTGAACAGTCTCTCTTCCAGAAAGACATGGCGGGGAATCGAACCACTTGTGTTCACTTCCGGGCGCGGCATGCTACCCACTACACCACCCCTCCTTGTGCTCCGTACAACTTTCAAAGCAGAATACACCTTTCCTTTCTTAGCTAATTTGCAAAGGTAGTATTCATCTTTTTTGCAATAGTTTCTTTGCCGGCTTTTCGTTGTTTTCTGCAAAAGAAGGAAAGAGCAGAGTCTGGCCACGGTTCCTTACTTGTGGTAGTAAAATTCTAAAACAAAGCTGGAAATGAAAAGATTTTTCTGGGATTTTTTAGAAAAATGGGTTTTTTTACACCTGTTTTTCCTCACTAGCAGCAAAGCCTCTATTTTGCTTGATTCTGAGAGAAGGGTTTCGTGGATTTTTTCGTCTTTCTGCTAACTTTCCAGTTTTTGCTCCACGTCACGTAGGTGCCATTCGGTGATTAGTGCGCTTATTTGCAATGCTTCTGAAGCACAGTTCAAAAGACGATGCCATATGACGTCCCCTTCAAAAACGTAAATCAGTGCGTTAGTCCTAAAATTCTAGAAGCATTTCAAATTTGCCCGATAATTCTCTCTTGGCTGTTTAGGTACTATACCTTTTTCTGTTCGTTCTTTTCTTTCTTTTTCTGTCTCATATTTCTGAGTGCACCACTAACTTCTGTATTTTTATTAACGTTCTGTTTCAATTTTTCGTTCGGTGTTCATGTTTGGTTTATAGATGCGCCGGAATGGCCAGTACCACCGTCGAGCGCCTACACGATGATGGCCGCCCAGTGTGCTGGAAGCTATTCGATGGGTACCGTAGCAACAATCGAACACATTAGTAGCGAATGTGGTAGGCTCTGCGATCATCATCATCATCATCATGATCGTCAAAATATCCAGACTGTTCTCAGTCGAAATGGTGATGGTGGAGATACGGCATTACGTCCCATAGCTAGGCATTGCTATTCAGTTGGTGCTAGTCCATGTAAAATTGTTGACCGGGGACCGGCAGGTGATGGCCTTCCAGCATCGGCTGTTAGTTTGCTTCCAACCCAACAAAAGCAGCAGCAGCAACGAGCTGTAAGTTTTCCGTATGGAACTGGATCGGATTATGGGCAAACATATTTCGGAACTGCGCCACATCACATTACCGTAGCAACGATTGATGACGAGCCGCCATCGCCACCGAAAACTGTCATGAAAGCAATTTTACGACCATCAAATAAGCAGACAGCAGAAGTAGCAGCAGCAGAATCATCATCGGGTGTATCGCTGAAGCAGCAGCAGCAGCAAAAGCCGAATTATTCACTTGTGAATACTCAGATATTGACGGTTTCGGATTTGGAAATGAATGCCTCGGGAAGTTGTGATTTCTAAAGCCAGCGACCGCTGCGAGCACCACACCACTCAGCGCGGAAAACAGCTTATCAACCATGATTAACGATAAATTTTTAGTAAATGGCATGAAACAGGGCAAACATTTAACAAAATCTAGTGGTCAAGGGTAGCTGTTGAGGCGAGATTCTCAGCCCACCTGCATAGGGCATTAAGTCTAAAACACTTATAATTAGCAAAGATGCCCAATAACTTGATGTTCCGTTCAGAAATTATTCCTAATTAGTAAAGAACAAAGCTGACCGATGTAGAAGATTTGACTGTTTTTGAAAGATATAGTAGTGGGCCCATGGCTTCTGAGGGGTAGGGAAGAGAGGCAAGGGGAGGGAAGGGAGCGGAGGGGGAGGAAGGGCGACAGAAAAAATTCTGACAGTAATGAGTGAGAAAAAGCCAGGAATGTGAGACAGATTCTAGAATGATATGGTTAGCACCAGGTGGCAAATGCCTGATGTTCTAGGGAGTTCCGATTTAAAATATTTTTATGTTTTTTTTTGACTACTTAAATAAAAAAAATTGGTCATCTTACTGTATTAAACAGTTTTTTTTAGGGAGTCACTGGTGAGGTAAATTTTTGTCTTTTCTAGGTCGGTAATGATGCTAAGGGGTTTGATAAGGTGGGTTTTTGTATTTGCTGTATTTGGAGCCTCAGATAGTTTTTGGTGCTCAGGGGCATTGATGAGGGGGGTTTTTAGGTCCCTCTATTCGGAATTTCAAGTTTCTACTATTATTTTTCATTTGTAGTGAGGGAGGTTATTTACTGTATTAAGAACGCAGGTTATTATTGGTATTTTTACTCAAAAAACAACCTGGATTAGTACTTTTACTAAAAAACCTGGATTAGGCCACCTGGTTCCATAACCGTGACAGTTTTCTTCACTGATACATAGTGAAGGTAACAGAGGCAGCCTGAAATCACTAGGCCAGGATGAAAAAGCCTAGCATAACTGTAGCTTATGCATTCATGTATCTTAGTCACATATAAATTCCATACTAACTAGTTTTGTTGATTATTTATTTGAATAATTTGAATCAGTTGTAATCCATAGTCTAATTTTCCAAACACCCAATTGCTTTGGCCAGTGCTGCATCGTCTGATGGTCATCCTGTTGGTGACCTTGACACTTTTTCGTCATTCAAAAATTAACAACAAAATTATTCGTTAAGACTTTGGCCGTTTCGAAATGTCCCTTTTTTTGTGTTTTGAGTGTTAACACATGGTCTTAAATGCTTCCACTTCTAGATAATGATAAAGGTACTTTATCGATTTATCTAATTAGTAATCCAATTTCTAAGAATGGCTTTAATGTGGATTTCATGCACCGCAAAAAAAAATTTGCAAAATTTTTTTAGAGGGATTGGCATAGGTTCAAAATTTAGCACCATCGTCGTCTTATGAAGCGTTCGTTTTTTCTGGCTTGTTTTGTCTTTGTGTATGTGTGGTTTTTTTTGTCATTGGATCGAGCTTACTTTTTGGCCAACCAGCATTCTTTTCCGTTTTAGAAGCCAATTTCACTCATTGATTTTGGATTGTTAATCGCTTCTGCTCGGCATTCTTTGTGTGATAAATGCTTGTGGTGGTGTTTGTACTTTATTTTTTTGTCGAGCACTTCTATGAACTTTTTATTTCTGTTTCTTTTATTGAGATCAGTTTCGCATATATGATTTTTTTTATTTACCGCACTGTCTGTATGCTTGTACGTGTGTGTATGTGTGTCTGTGTGCGTGCGTACGTGTGTGTGCGTTTATGTGTGCGTGTGCGTGTGCAAGTTCCAGGATTGTACGCAGTATTTTCTCAAAGGGGAGGCATTTAATACCTCAGAGGAAATTTTCCCTAAGCAGTGATTAGCGCAGCGCATAACCTTATTTGATTTTGTGCTAATCATTCATTCGGATTCTTTGACCCAGTTGTCCGTTCCGTCTCCTGAAGGGATTATCAGCCAGGCATTTTCCCGACAAAAGCATTTTAGCAGGACTTTAGACGTTTCGAGTTGACTTTGACAACTACTTCGCGCAGTTAGCCCTTTTTCTGTTTCCTGAGTGTTGCACTGGCTGACGGTCAGTCTGTTGGCGATCCTGAAGGAATTATCAGCTCCTCAGTAGCCTTCCTAATTGAAGCACTTTGGCAAGGCTTTAGCGTTTTCGAGGTATCTTTGATGTTTATTCAGCATAATCACCCCAGATGCTCTATTGAAAACGAAAATGCTTGACATGTTTCGTAACTTTTCCCCCAACCCTAGCCTTATGTTCACCAAAAAGCCTGGACTCGGGTTGGTCTGGAAGAAATGCCTTCTCCTGAAGTACTTCATTTCTGCGTATACTGTGGATGTGTGTTTTGTGTCCCGATTCTTGGCCATTGATATACAGGCAGACGAGAGTCGTTTTTTTTATTTCCAAGTTTTTTGCCCGTTTTGGGGGAGAATTTATTGTTAATGCTTTAGAATGCCGTTTGGTCTCATGAACACTAATTCTTAATTTCATTTTCATTTTCTGGATTGGCTTTTTCAGTTTATTTTTTTTTTGCAAATGAATCGCTGCTTTTGCTGCTTAAATATTTAGCATTTCATTCGAATCTTTCATCACCACTGGCTAATCCATGGGGAGAGGATAGGGGCTCCGGGGTTTTGCATTTTTTGCAGTATTTTGTAGCGCTTTTTCATCTTTTTTCTCAGCTTTTCAGTTCAGTTTAGCACTTTTTTGAGCTGGTTTCATTACTCTTTTTTTTTGTCAAAATTTTCCACTTCCAGTCATTCTGCATAAATTTTTCTTTTTATTAGGGTTACAAAAATTCCCCGGATAGTCGGTTTGTGTGTGCCCAAATCAATGCTAATGTTAAGATTGTAGCGTCTTTACAACCAAAAAAGCGAAAAGATAAGGAAGAGAAAAGCACTAAGCGGATTAAAGTGATGAATTAAGACGTTTTCGGTCCATTAAGTTGTGAATGTCTTATCACGATTACGGCACCTCGTCAGTATTGACGGTTGTGATGCAAATTTAAAAGGCGTGCGAGAGGGACGAAATATGAAAGTGAAAGGGTTAAACGTTACTGAGATGCCCCAGTACAGCTGCTGAGATGCCCCAGTACAGCTGCATTACTCGCTCCACGTTGGCTAATTTTTGCATATCTTCAATTGGTTTTTCGCATTTTTCCGACTCTTTTGATGTGTTCACTGCGATAAGGGTAGGCGCGCTGTCCCTTGTCAAATCCTCATGGCTATGCCATTATTTGTTATTGTACTATGTGTGTTGGTTTTGATTGTAGTGATTGCATTTTGCTTGTTTGGCATGGCAATCTAAAATGCATGCGTATATCGAGGAAAAATCTTTACTCGAGCCGTGTTGCATTTGTACTGCCTTGTAGCTCATGCCACTTCATCCATCTCCAGGTCAAAATTCAAAACTCCCTTGGTGTAGTCGCACTTTCTGAGAGGCGGAGGTACTCATGAATAGCCCGAACGATAGCAAATGCCAACAGCAACCACTCTCTGGCAAGGCTGCCAAATAGAAAGCTTAACTTGCCATTTTGCCTTTGAGCAACACTTTTTTGGGGTTGCTTAGAAAGAGGCTTATGTGGCGCGTTTTGACTTCTTGGCATATGCTGATACCAATTTATTACTGTAAAAAAAACGAATGGACGAATCGTAGAGGGACTGATTGTACCACCGATGGAACGGACCATGGACCTACTGAACGACTTTCGATGTGTTAGTCTCATGTCCAACAACTTGCTTCTAAGCAACTCTCGAAACGGAAAACTGTCAGCAACTTCGCCACCAGTGCTTGGGGTATTGTTTCTGGGTACCTCTGCCTTTTATAGAATGGATACGGTGAAGGGTAATGACTTTGATTTTCTCTGATATGTTGCTCAGCTGCTGGCTGCTTCATCGTCTGCTGGATGCGGTTGTTAATGTTTTCGTCGTCACACGTAATTTCTTATAAAATAGGCTAAAAAAAGCGGTAAGGACGAAGCCTTTTATTTTGTAATTTCCTGGATCGAAGAACCTGGCATAGTTGTTCTCAGCAAATGGGAGCATTCAGTAACATTACTAACATGGTACATTTACAGCAATTGCTTGAATGATTTAGAAAGTATTTTACTATTAAAGATTCCGGATCTTAATGCAGCTTTGTGTACATTTTGAGTGATAATGAGAAGGAATGTATACGATTTAATGGACCGAAACATTTCTTTCCAGTTATTTAAATTCAGATACGACTTTACAGTTCCTGAAATATTCAAAAATACTGTTATGGTTGTCATTTCGGGTACTCCATCTTATTACTATTTTTACTAGATTATTATTCTGCATTATTATCATTATTTTTGCTACCGTCGTTGTCGTTATCATTATTGTTGTTATCATCATTGCTATAATTATTATTATCATTGTCATTATTACTATTATCATTATTACTGTTATCATCATTATTGTCATTATTATTACCATCATTATTACTGTTATCATTATTATTATCACCGTTATTGTCGTTATTATTACCATTATTATTATTATTATTATTATTATTATTATTATTATTATTATTATTA